TGGGGTCCCAAACAGTTGGACAGGAGTGAGAGAGTTAACTGAACTGAGCTGACATTAATACTGACATTGGTGACTTTCCTGGTGATTCAGTGGTTAAGAAGCCACCTTGCAATGCAGGGGTCAGAGACTCAATTTCTCCTGGGGAAACTAAGACCCCATGTGTATGCTGTGTGCTCTGCTGCTAAGTCGCTTCAGTTGTGTCCAACTCTGTGCAACTCCATAGATGGCAGTCCACCAGGCTCCCCTGTCCCTGGGATTCTCCAGGCAAGAACACTGGAGTGGTTGCCACTTCCTTCTCCAATGCATGAAAGTGAAAAGTGAAAGTGAAGTTGCTCAGTCATGGCTGACTCTTTGCCACCCCATGGACTGCAGCCTACCAGGCTCCTCCATCCATGGGATTTTCCAGGCAATGCTGTGTGCTAAATAATGTCCAAATCTTTTGTGACCCCCCCAAGTAGCCTGCCAGGCTCGTCTGGCCATGAAATTTTCCAGGCAAGACTACTGGAGTAGGTTGCTGTTTCCTACTCCAGGGGATCTTCCCAACCCAGGAATCAAACCTATGTCTCTTCCATTTACTGCATTGGCAGACATATTCTTTACCACTTGGTCACCTGGGAAGCTAAGATCCCACAGGCCTTGAGCAACTAAACCCGAGCACTGCAAGTAGGAGCCTTCTGGTCACAACTACTGGGGTATGAGCAGGGCAAGGAGGATCCCCGGTGCTGCTACTAAGACCTGCCACAGCCAAATAAATGAACAAGCTATTTAAAAAAGCAGAGAGTGAGAAGGTACATTGTTTTAAAGCTTACACTTTAAGAGTGTTTAAAACACAGAACCAAACATAAGCCAGCGCCCGCCTCATGTCTTTACTATTTGGAGCAAAAAAAACCTTGGCTTTTTGAAGCCAAGCAGTGACCTTGAGTAAATACTCTTACCTCCTTGGACCTTTTGAAGGAATGAAAGGGTTTGGCGACCCTAGCATTGACTGAAGCCACGTTTAGAAACCTGGTTCCATGATTCCATGACTCTTTACCTCAGCAACCTATCACTAGTCAGTGTTCACAAGGAGGAGAGACCAAGTCGACGTGATTTATGTTTTCTAGAAAAGTCCAGCATTTGTGGTAGTTGTTAAGCCAGGTTAAGTTTTCACTTATCTTTGCAGACAGAAGTCACTACCTGGCCAGAGTGAGGGTGTCAGGTTGGACGTTCCACCCTTTCCGCTGGAGACCCTCGGTTGCCTGGGCAACGCCTACGTCATTGCATAGTCACGTGTCCCTCGGCGTGACGCTCAGACAGCGCCACGCGCTGGCGCCTACTGGGAACCAATGGGCGCGGTCAGAAGGTCTGTCCTCGGCCCCGCCCTTTTCCGAGAGGATTCGGGGGCGGGACGGCGGCGGGAACGCGCCCGCCTTTCCCGGGCTAGCGGGCGGGCGGTTGTCCGAGCCTTGGCGTCTGTGCGTCCCATCACGTAGGTTACGCACACACTTCGTCCGGGCTGCCGCCGGGAGCTCCCCCAGGCAGCAGTGCCTTCACAGACTCGGGCTCCCTGGAGGCTGCGCCGCGATGGTTCGGGTCGCGGGTCTGAGGTGGAGCTGACTAAGGGCTGAGAAGACCCTGGGAGTCGCTACGGAGCACGAAGCTCTTCCCTGGCCGTCGGGCCCCGGGCTTCCCGCCCTCCCGCCGACTTCCAGCCGTCTGTGTCAAGCTATTTTTCTGGAAGCCCTGAACTCCGTGCCCCTCAAGCCCTGGGCCCCCTGCGGGAATGTTCAAAAATGAGTACCAGGTAACCCGAAACGGCTGTCCATCCTGTCTAGTTTCTCTCGGGTGAGGTAGCTCACGTTCTGTTGACAACTCTCAGCCACCCCACTCCCTACCCCACATCCCCAAATAATACCGTCTTTTTAGGGGTAAGAAGGAATTACTGGGTAAGTGCTCTTGACCCTCCTCCTCCACCAAAAAAAAAAAAAAAAAGGGCAACTGACGTGTGGGGATACGATTTGATTTTTGTTCACTCAACCGTTCCTTGCTTCTCAAGGTGTAGGGATGCTTGTGTTTGTGACTGAAATGCAGTCTTAAACCCTCAACCAAACCTCCTGGACCAGAAACTTGAGGACAGGACCCATCAACCCATCAATTGAGTTTTACCAATTTTGAGGCACTCTGGTAACTCGGACGCTATTTAGAAGAGAGTAAATAAGTGAATGCATGAATGGGTTAAGCCCAGAAAGAGCATAAGCACTTTGGCCGTGTGCTGTTTTCTCCCCCCACCCCCAAACTGGGGGTTAGTGATTCTCAAACATGCGGTACATTAAGATTATTTGGAGTACGTGTAAAAATAACGAATTTCTTGATCCTCGCCCTCAAATAGAGTGAATCAGAATCTCTGTCGATGGAAGAGTTAATTTATCTTCATAGAACCTTTCCGCAGTTGATTCAGATGCAGGTGGTCCAGAGTACACACTGAGGGAAACTGCTTCTGGCTCCTCTTCAGTCACCTTGCCTACCCTGGGTGGTTTCCAAAGCTCTCCAGCTTTCCTCACCTCACCGGGCATCTCCCTGCTCTTCCTTGGCTCCAGTCTCCTGCCCTCCTCCCCGTACCCCGTACCCCGTACCTCCATGTGTCTGCCATCTGAGTACTGCTGTTGGGAACAAATTTGTCCCTGTGCTGGAGCAGTCCTCTGCTGGTCACCTCTTTGTTGCTTTTATGTTTTGGCTGCGCTGGGTGAGCACAGAGCTCATTAGTACCAGTAATGATTATTCCCAAAAAAAGGGCAAATTGGATAGTACTGGGTCAATTAAAAAAACTTGAACTTGGAGAGGGAGTGATTCTTATTTTGAGAATTCCTGTACGATTTTTTATATATTTAATACAATTTGGAGATCTGTATGTACAGAAAAGAATTATTTATATAGACATGCTAAATGTTCTCTACTGTGAACCTGAGAGCATGGAGGGACATGCTCACATAAAATCACGAAACACATTACTGAATGTCCATAGTGCGCAGGCTCAGTAGTTGCCGCGGGACAGCTTGGTTTCCCAACCTGAGGAAGAAATGGTGCCCCCTGCGTTGGAAGCAGAGACTCCTGGACCGTCAAGGAAGTCCCCGCGCTTCCTTGTTTGCTTTTCACCATATACTACCTGCCTTCTTACGAGTCTCCTCAGAGTGTTCCGCAGTTCTCTTTCTTCTATTACGTTTGATGCCATTACATGTGTTAGAACAATTTTAGAGAGTTTCTTTCACTTAATATAGGTAAAGTATATATTGTAATATAAAAACCTGTGTCCACTGTGGGAAACAGGCGATAGCAGAAAGGAATGGGCTTGGGGGAGGTATATTTTTCTGTCTGTTCAGGTGTATGGATTTTTCTCTTAAAAAAAAAAAACTTCCTCAAATTTAAAATTCATAGTGAAATATGCCCTGACTTCAGAAGCTATAGTAATTCTTTTCCTCAGTTTGCACATAACACTGCCTCAAGAAGACATTAAATGTCTCAGCTTCAAGTTAAAACACAGAAGCAAAAATATCTTTGTATTATTGAGAAAAATTAAAAGCTGAACACTTTATGAAAATCAGACAGTTGCTTATGCACTGCTTATAAATTAACAGGCCATAAAATATTTATTCTCAGGTTTTCAGTTTTTCAGTAAACTCTTCCTTAGAGACAATCATTTATAATGCCTCTCTTTTATAATTAAAGCTTATGGACATTTACTAATGTGCTTCGTGATTTTATGTGAGCATGTCCCTCCATGTTCTCAGGATTACACTAGAGAACATTTAGCATGTCTATAGAAATAATTCTCTTTTTTTGTATGTATTTTGTAGATCACCAAATTGTGTTAAATATATAAAAAAATCGTATAGGAATTCTTAAAATAAGAATCACTCGCTCTCCAAGTTCAAGTTTTTTTTAATTGACCCAGTACTATTCAGTTTACCCTGTTTTTGAATAATCATTGTTGGTACTGAGCTCGTGCAAGATACTGAATGTGATAGTTTATGTTTACTGTCCTATGTAATCTGATAACCCATTTTACAGGAGAATCAAGAGGTTAAGTAACTCGAAGGTCAGTTAATAAATGGAAGAACTGGTATTGGAACTCAGGTTAGTGTAACTAAAAAGCTTGTAGCGAGAGATAACTATCCAATTTGATTAGCCTTGCCTGAGAGTTGAGTTTTGACCCTTTAGTGTGTGTTGAATAAAATATTTTGTGAACATGAACTATATACGTGAAGTAAATGAATCTTACACTTAAAGCTTGAAATTTATTTAATGTTTGCTTTCAAAAAAAATTTCTTTAACTATTAACTTGAGGTGACTTGAATCAGAACAGTTGTTGCTTAGATACACCCAAGATGTAAAGGAATAATAACAAGGATAATGTTTCCTCCCAGATCTACTTTACTGACAGATTCCCAGAACAGTGGTTATAGACTATGTGGTAGATAATATTTCCTCCTTCTTAGCATTGTTTTTCACTGTAATTAAAAAAAAATTTTTTCACCCTAGGGAGGTGCATTTGTTGAAATCTTTAGTGCCCAGGGTAAAAATCCTGGAGCAAAATGGAAGATCCTCGGCAGTCCATCTGTGATTTGGAAAGTAAGTTTTAAAAATTAAAGCCTGCTAAATTGGGAAAAGAAATGAGACTAAAGATTATAACAAAAAGGGCTTGGTAAGGTTTCAGAACTGGTTTACCTATTCATTCATTTCAAAACCCTTTCATGACTACTGGCTTCAACCCTTTGAGATACCCCTCCTCATTGAAGACTTTGGCACACAGCTCATAACCCTTCTCTAGGTGTCAAGTCCTGACATTGTTTTAGGCAACTTCAGTATCTGTGAGGAAAATCTCAAACCCTGGGCTTCTCATTTTCTTGATTTCTTCATCTCTAATGACCTTCTCCACTCTACTTCAGCACTGTTTCCCTCTGTCACACTTTGTAACTTACTACTGAAAACTGCATGGCCTCTGAAATTACTGAGATCTTGAGTCTACTCTTGGATTCTTAATGTTGCTTGCCTGGTTACTCCCACTCTATTTGCTCTTCAACCTAATTGTCACTATTAGGCCATTGACCATTCTACATTTTTCTCAGTGTTTAGATTGATATACTTTCTTACCTACTTACTCACTCAGTCTGTCTTCACTTTCTTTTTCTCTCCAGCCCAGAATCCATGGTCCAAAATTTCAGTCACTTCCCAGTCAAGACCTTGACTGCCCTGTTCCTCCTCCTTTCATCATGCCTGCCTAGCAAATGCCAACCGTTTCTGAATTCCTGATCACATCGCTTTCCTGTGTCTGCGTGTGGGCTTCACAATACCTTTGGGGAAAATACCTATTAGTCTTTCAGGTTGATAATGCTGTGAATTAAGTATGAACAGCCCAAGAACCTAATCTTGTCTCCTGGTCTCTAAAATGATTCTTTCTCTAGTATCTTTCAGGTTTCCAGCCATAAACTCCTTACCCCCACCCCCAACCCACACCCAAGACAGGCCCTCCTCACTCATTTACCAGAAGACTTCACCCCCCATTTCATAGGGAAAACCAATAACATCTGGTAGGAACTACCTCAACCTCTTGGCCACCAGACCTAAAAATCCATTTCCTTCCCTGTCTTTTTCTCTTTCTCTTCTCTCTTGTACAGTTGAGAGAAAAATATCTTTCTAGAGACTTTATTCTATGGATAGTTTTTTAAACTACTACTAACTGAGTGCTTACTGTTTGCCAACCATAGGATTGAGCACATTACATGTTATATAGTCCATACAATAACCTTGTGTCTCATAAAGTACACTTAACGCTTATCTTATAGGCATGATATAGTTAAGTGACTTGCTCAAAATTTTATAGCTTTTACTATGAAAGAAAGTAAATTGGTGCTGTGAGGGTATAGAGCAGAAAGGTTAGGAAAGGCTTCCCTAAGGAAATAATATTTGATCTCTAGCTAACTAGGCACCAGATGGAGCTGGTAGAGAGATAACATTTCAGGCAATGAGAAAAGCAGGTATAAAGTCCTTGCTTTGGAGAGAACTTGGAATTTTTAAGAAACTGTTGGAAGGCTAGAGGCTAGGATGCAAAGTAGAGGAGAGTCTAAGGCAAGAGATGAAGTTAGAAAAACTGGGCAGGGGTTGGACTACACAAGGGTTTATGGTCATGTTCAAGATTTTGATAAGCTGTTGAAAGGTTTTAGTGTATGCCCAACATGTGTGCAGATGAAATAAATAATACACTCTGTATTCATTGCAAATACATGAGAGATGTTATTATGATAAATATAATACAAATTTATTTAAATGTTACTTAATCCTTAGCAACCATTGGTTACAATGTATTTTTAAAACATGTACCAAAAGGAAGAGGATCTATGAAAGGTTTCTTTGTGAAAAAGGAGTCTTTGTTTTTAAAGATTGGAAATTCCTTCAAGATTAAAAAATAATAATAACCATTTGCATTAATACTTTGATAGAAATTGGATTCTCGTGTATAATAAGTTTTTCATTTCCAGGTGTGTTTTGTTTCTGTTTGTTTTTTAGATGACCTTCCTTAGCTGTAAAACTTTAGTATGTACTGATTGTAAGTAAATGATGTATGGAACTTCACGTTAGAGGACTGGTAAAATAAGGCATTGATTAATTCTATATGAGCCATGGCTTGAACCAAGGAACTTCCAGACTAGATACAACATAATTTAGATGGTTTATTGTACTGTTACCAGAGAGAGATGTTCAGCCTGTGCTATTAGACAGAAATATAGATTATAGAAGGGGAAGGATACCTGGACTCTGGAAACTCTAAATTAGTAACTTGGGAATCCCTGACATTGGAAAAATTATTTGGAGGAAGACTATCTTGATATAGAAGAGAATTCGCCAAGTAGCTAAGTGTGGCCTCTGTATTCCAATTCCCGGCAAGTCTTAGCAGCATCATTAAGACCTAGGCCTATTTTTAAGTCATTTGAGTGTGGGGCTTTTTGTATGGGCCTGCTACTTCAATTTTATAATAAAAGTGAAATAAAATGCACAATTACCACTGTAATTCAATTTTGTTCTGCAGGAATTTGATAAAGAAGTTAAAAGTTTTGTGTTTGTACTGGAAGGCAGCAGCCAAACAAATAAAATACAGTTACCAAAGGAGAATAAGCAAATCCGTAAGTAAGATTTTTAACATTGAAGCTTAACATTTGATCCTTAAAGTGAAACTTTTAAGTCTCATAAACAGACGTGTAAGTTTGGCTTTTACTGGCATCTGTTGATGTATAGTAATAAGATTTTTAATTTAAAGAGTAACTTTATACGAGGCTTTTGAAAAGAGATTCTGCTTCATTGTTTATTAGAAATTAACTTCTATTTTAAAGAAGACTTAGAAGATTATTTAACCTTCTAAATTACAAAATGTGTATAAGATTATTTCATTAGAATAGTAATGATGTTTATTAAGCACTTACTGCGTGCCAATGACTTTCCAAGCATTTCATTTTTTTAAATTCTTTTAATCCTGACACTAAGTCTTTTATGGATGAACACACTAAGGTTGATTCCTCCTCAAGAGATCAGCTGGGTAAGGCTATGCTTTGAAACAAACTCATGAGTTCTTATAGTGAATTAATTTTTGAGGAAAAATATATGTGAAGTACTACATAAGGCTTACTTAGTAATATATCAACTTACATACCTTTAGAAATATTCATATCTAATAAGTAAAGATATGAATATGTGATTTAACAAAAAACCCCAAAATAGATTTCAATTCTTATCTGTTCTGGGAATTAGGGACAGTGGCTTAAAGCAGAAAGAACTCTGAGTGATCACCTAAATTGATGATCAGAAGCCCAATTTTTGGCCAAACTGAGGTTAAAATTCAATGCTCTGCCACAGACTTAGGCTCTGCATACCCTGATATGATTTAAGAAATATAAATTATCAAAATGATTTACCATATTTTCATTCACTTTGTCCTATATTTATCTATTGTGTTTTAACCAATATAGGTAATCAGTTATTTTTTACATTCATTATTTACTTCTTCTTTCATTAAGAACATTTATTCAATACTTATTGTGTACCATGGACTATGAAAAGAGCTAGTCTTGGTATCTGATTTTCTCATTTAATCCTGTTTTCTAAACTTTTATAGACTCTATGTTTTATCTACTATTTCAAATTACTACATGCATATTTTAGATTTCTAAGACATAAATCAAGCCATAGAAATTATAGTTGGAAGATGATTTATTTTAAAATGGTATCTTTCTGAATAAAATAAAAAACAACTTCAAAGAGAAGGGATAGTCATTGTTAAAATAATTGTTATTAGTTTATTACCATTTTAAAACCATGATTTCCTCATAGTTTGCATTTTTTAATAGCAGAAATTTTTTTTTTTAATTTATCCGTAAATTTGTACTGATAAATAAGGTGAACTGAGATAAGCCATAGAAACATGTCTGAAAATGTAGATTATTTTTTAACAGGAAACATGGACCATCTTTTTTAAGACTATTGACTTTAAAATGAACACATCTGATATTCAGGAACATGACTTTGCTCTAAACCAATTTTAGTTCTTTTTTATTTATTATTGTTGGCCTCTGCATCCATGTGATGCCTTCAGCATCTATGCCCTTGATGATGTTTTTGACCAAATCAAATCACTTCTAGTAACCTTTCTCATTTGGCCCTGAGAAAGATTTCTCCTCTTTAACAAAGGCTCAGTGATTAAAGACAAGCTCCCCTTTCCTACTTTTATCTATGTTTTTTTTAAGAAATAAAACAAATTTAATATAATTGCTTTTTAAAAATGGAAAGATGACAGTTTTAATTGGGAGAAAGAAAAATCTTTTAATGTATTTCTTGTGCAATGTCCTGCAATTAAAAATTAATCTGAGTTTTCTGTAGCATGTGCAGCCCTGTAACAAATGAAGCAGTTTATATAGTCTGCCCTGTACTAATGCCTTTAAGATTAATTATTTGGAATTTTTGATAATAGGAACTTATAATTATTTTTACTTTATAAAATGACCTATGTGAAGTTGTTATGGTTAAATTTAAATTTAATGGTATGCTTTGAATAAAGAATTGACTTTAAGTTAAGGATTCTAAATTAAGTTCAATTACCATTTTGTATTCCTATTTTAAGAGTAAAAAACCCCCCCCAAAAAAAGTAAAAACCCACTTTATTTTTGTCAACTTGACATTAGACACTTCATATGTATTTCCTACTGTATTAAGTACCTGTGAAGGAATTTTAATAATGAAATTCAGTATTTTTAAATTTTAATTTTAAATAGTAATATTCTGAATTATATTTGAGCATCTCTGAATATGTCAGTTTTTTTTTAACTCTATATATTATCAAATATAGGAAGGTGTGATTATCAGATTGTGTATTTCTCCATGACAGAACTTTTGCATCATCAACTTTGTACCCCTAACTTAGTGTGTCATATATAGTTAGTATTCAGTAATTTTGTTAAACGTCTCATACTAAGAAGCTGTAACGATTTAGGTTATAATTTCTAATGGTAAGCATTTGAACTTGATACTGAAACTTCTAGATCATTAGCAAGTTAAAGAAGCCCATGTTGCTATTGAGGCTGGAATGTGTTATACAGAGATGCCCATATGAAAAGAAACTCTATTACATGTAAGTATCTGTCATTTGGATCTTCTCCCTGGGGACTTTCTATTTGAGGCTCATGTTTGAAATCGTACTTTTCTCTGCCTGTGACATCTTAGTCAAATGGTGTGTCTCTCGGGATCGGCATCCCTGAAGCTGTGTGTTGATCTAAGTTTCAGCTGCTCTGGTGGATGAGGTCATCTTTATGAGGTTCCCCTCAGCCTACCCCTGCCCTAACTTTTTGTAATTCTTTGAAATAAACTTATGATTTCCTCTTTCTAAAACCCTTCAGTGGCTTTGACTTTACTACTCTATTGACAGTGCTCTTGTCAAGGTTTCTAGTACTCTTTCTATTCTTGAATCCAGTGGCCAGTTCTCAGCTCTTGTCTTGCTCAACTTAGCAGCAGCATTGACAAAAATTGACATCCTCTACTTGATTTATATAGTACTTTCTCCACTCATCTTCCAGGATGCCCATACTCCTGGATTTTTTGTTTTTCTTTTTCCTACTTCACTGGTCTTTCTTCTGTCTCCTTTCATGGTTCTTCCTCTTCTCCCCAACCCAACTTAATGTGGCAATGCCTCTGGACTTAGTCTTTGACCTTCTTGACACTAAACTACATTTACTTCTTTAGTTTCAGACTCTAGTCTGATGGCTTTAAATTTCATCTCTGCTGTGTACCAGCTTGCATTCTTATCAGTGACTTGTGTCCCAAACTCCAGATTTGTATATTCAATTGCTTAGTTGACATTTCTACATGAATAGCTTTACCGTAGAAATTTTTCTTCCTCCTCCTGCAGACTGCCCCATCTCAGTTGTCAGCAAGTTGCCTTTCAGTTGCTCAGACAAAAAACTCTTAAATCATGTTAATTTTTTCCTTCTTTTCATTTAACCATCAAGAAAATCGTGTTGGCTCTATCTTTAAATTAGTTTTAGAGTCTGACTGCCTCTTGCTACTTTCCCTGCTGCCACCCTGGTCCACACCACCATTATCGTGGATTATTGCAGTAGCCTTCTAATTAGTCTCTGTTTCTGACTTGCTTCCCTACAGTCCATTGTCAGTTTAGCAGCCAGACTGATGCTTTTAAATCAAGCACTCTTTGCTGAAAATGCCACATCTCTCTCTGGGTAAAACCCATAAAACCCAAGCATCTATAGGGCGCTGTAGTATCTGATGTTCTCTTAACTCTGATCTTATCTCCTGTTACTTTGCCTTGTTCACTCTCCTCCATCCATGTAGGTCTCCTTGCTGTTTTCAGCCACAGTCTGGTACCTTAGCACTTGTGCACAAGCCATACCCTCTGCCTAGGGCTTTCTTTTTCCAAGTAGCTACATGGCTCACTCTCTCCCCTTCTTCAAGCCTTTGCCAAATAAAATGTCATCCTTTCAGTGAGGACCCGTGCTTACCCAAACTTAAGTTAAAACCTGTGCTTTGTATCCCTTCTGCATTCTTAATCTCCTTCACCCTGCTGTACATTTTCCTACAGTAATTATCACCTTGAACTTGCTATTTAATATGTTCTTTTGTTTTTTCTGCCATCACCAGAAACTAAGGCCTACCAACACAGAAACTTAGTCCACTCTGTTCACGTAGAACAGTGTCTGGCACATAGTAAACGTTCAGTAGATCTTTGTTGAATAAATGAATGGATGAGTGGCTTCCTATTGATTTTAGGATGACCTGTATCTTTCACAAGGCTTTCAAAATGCACATAATTGAGTCCCTGACTATTTGCCAGACATATCCCCTGCTGCTTTTCCCCTTCTGTCTCTCCTGTCAGTCCTTTAGGCCTTTAAGTTCGTCTAACTACTATAGGCTCTTCCATCACATTATGGAGTATTCCCTCTCTATACAATATTTTTTCCTCTCTTCTGCCCCTATCTTCCTTGCCCAGTCAATCTCCACTGTTCTTCCCGACTCAACTCCACTGTTACTTCTACAAGAAAACCTTCGCTCATCATCCTCTTCCTCCCAATGACTCAGGATTATATAAGCTTTCATAGCAATGTGACCTTCTCCTTCATGAAACCTAGTATGTAAGTTCCAAGAGAGCAGAGAGCATGTCTGTCCTATTCACTTCAAAAGCTTTAACACTGAATCTTTTTCATAGTAGATGCTCAATAAATCTTTATTGAGTGATAGATCTCATTTGATCTACACAAATGATTCTGTGAAGGGTAAATCTAAATTATCAACCCAGTTTTACATATGAAAAGTAAAAGGGCCCAAATAGGTTTTCTGATGTGCTCAAGGGGTGTGGAGTAACCCATTATGAAGCCACAATTGTTTCCTGTTTTCTGTGCTACAGTAGCTAAGGTGCATTTTAGTGTCCTGTCTGTGTCAGGACTCCAGTAGAATCAGGAGATACCTTCAGTATTTCAGTAACTGAAGTAACTTCAGTAACTGTTACCAAGTTACTTATAAAAGATTGCTGTACTGTGGTTTGGTCCCAACACTTTGGACAGTGTAACACTTGCAAAGTGTATGTTGAGGTATACAACTGTGATTTGCTGTAATGGGACAACTGTAAAACCACTGGTTAAAAATCTATTTACTGAATCAATGTGTCTTAAAATACTCAAAAGAAGAAAGGATCTGACCTCTTAAAAATAGAGGTAGCTTTTGTCTCGGGCAGAGAACATATTATAAAAGTGCAGAAACCTGCATATTTCAGTAAAAAAGAGTGAACTTTTATGAATTTTATGTACTTGATGGGCATTTTCTGACTAACAATAGTTCCAGCATTGCTTAGAGTGATTTTAAATATAATGTAGACATGAAGAGTCAGTTTAAATTTACTTGGCCAAAGAGTCAGTTTAAATTTACTCGGCCACTGGAAGAAAAAATGTTGCTATAGAGTTTATTTAGCATTTCTGACACATAGGATCAGTGTCTGTCAAATGTTATTAGAGTACTTTTTTCTTTGTCAGATCATTACCTTATGGTATTGTCGTACTTCTTTTAATCTTAGAAGTGAAGCCTTTTGGAAACTAGGGCTTCTATATGTGAGAGAGTTGAATTACAATGCTTTATTTTTTTTGAGGGCAAACATCTTTCATATCTAAAAATATTCATACAAAAATGCCCTATGTGTGTAGCTCTTTGTGTTGAAAGAGAACAGTTGCTGATTCAGTGAGATCTGTGACATAAATTAGGACCTTTTGTAAAGAGAGATTTCATTTATCCCGGTGCTCTCTCAGCTCTCTTTATGGGGCCTTTCTGCAGTGGAAAAAATACTGTCAGGCCAATCAATGGAAGATACATGAGAGAGATTGATTAACAGTCGTTTATTTAAGTTGGCCTAATTTGGGTCTTTCATTTTGGTTTTGTGGTCCAGAGCTCTAGTTGTCTTGTTGGCTTTTCCCATAAATGTGGTAGAACCTGATTCCTAGAGAATTTTCTAAGATCAGAGACTATTACCTCTACTGATGACTCTTTTGCAGCTTAGTATTTTAAGTAAAATTTATCCTTTTATGTTTAATTTTTAAAATATTAAGCACATTTGGTCAAATATGTTTATTGCTTAGAAACTAGAGTTGAAGTAAACTATAGGAACTGTCTAAGTTCTTCAGGAATGTTGTAAAAAATTCAACATAAGAATTCTAAACAGAACATTTTTATATATAGGCTAACCAAATATAAATTGTCACTTTAAAATACTTAAATTTGTTAAGTCTACTAAGTTGGAATGAATAGAAATCAGCATTCATGTTAGACCAGTTACCTTCTTTGAAGTGTTTTCTTCTTGTATTGGCTTGTACTATTAGATTTGTAGGAGAGGTTTACCATTGTATCAAGATATCTCCACTTCCTAAGCAACATTCCACATTAGGGAAAAAACAAATTCCTGGAAGTCATGTTTCAGGAGGAAGTGATATTAAAACATTCATTAAAAGCAACATAATTGATATATCAAGTGAAAGTTCAAAAGCTAAGAGGAAAAGAATTAAGTGAATAGGTCCAAAGAGGTAATACAAAATCAGTTGATTTTTGAAACAGTTGTAGACTTCAGTTATCGAAAGTGCCATAGGTCTTTCTCCAGATATTTTTAATTCAGATGAAGCTGGTGATGGGGAATAAAAGCTATAAGTTTTTAATTTGTGAGCATTAAATTAATTAAATTTATTTTAAATTAACAAAAGGTGTTTACCTGAAAATATGGTCATCCATCCATCTCATTATAGACACATTGAAAACCATGTGAACTAGATATGGCTCATCAAACCTTCAGTTGTAGTTGTCATAATTAGAACTGTTTTTCTGATCTATTATTTTTCATCAACTTGTTAAATACAGTTAAAATTGTCAGTGAGTAAGAATAATTGCTACATGCTTTTATGACTGCCTTAATGAGAAAACATATAGTTCAGTTTTATATGTGTCTATTGAATGTGTACACTTTCTTGCAACCTAATAAAAATAGTAAATAAAAAAATATTTTATAAATTTCCATAAAGATTTCACCAAGCCCACAAATGGGACTTTAAAAGACAACATTTGTTGTTAAGAGTTTGATTTGATTTCATCTTTTTTTTTTTTTTGTAGTGAGATTGTAACTCAAGGTAGTGCTCTTGCAGTTGTATATATTATTGAAATGATAAAAGCTTCAGCTTATTGATGGCATGTGACTATTTTGTTTATGTACATATAAATGATTTGGGCATACAAATGTATATTTTCCTCCTTTCATTTTAGTTGGACTGATCCAGAGGTTTCTTGTACTTCAGATTTACATACCCCTGGGACAAGACTTCTCCACTGAATTGCTGTAAGATATATAGACCTTCTTTCAATATTTTATGTGTATTAGACATTTGATCAATTGAAGCAGTGTGAAGTCATTAATTACAAATGGCAGTTTTTGCGTTAAAGAGTAGTGACTTATCAAGTCGACATGAAGTAATTAAACTAATTTAATAGTGTTTCTGGATATACTGTAGTCTGGCATTTCCCTAAGGGAAGAAAACAAATTTCATCTGTTTAAGAAAATATCAAAGGATCCTGAATTTAATACTGAGGAGCCTATGATTTGAAGAGATAGGAGGTTTTCCCTTTCTCCACGCCCTCTCCAATGTTTATTGTTTGTAGACTTTTTGATAATGGCTACTCTGACTGATGTGAGGTGATATCTCATTGTAGTTTTGATTTGCATTTCTCTGATAACTAGTGATATTGAGCATCTTTTCTTGTGCTTTTTGGCCATCTGTATGTCTTCTTTGGAAAAAATGTCTTTAGAGTCTTTAGATCTTCCATTCAGTTTTTGATTGGGTGGGTTTTTTTGACATAGAGCTGCATGAACTGTTTGCATATTTTGGAGATTGATCCCTAGTTGGTCACTTTGCAAACATTTTCTCTCATTCTCTGGGTTGTCTTTTCATTTTGTTTATGGCTTCCTTTGCTATGTAGAAGCTTTTAGTTTAATTAGGTCTCATTTGTTTACTTTTGTTTTTATTTTCATAACACTAGGAGGTGGATACAAAAAGATATTGATGTGATGTTTGTCCGAGTGTTCTACGTATGTTTTCTCCTAAGAGTGTTACAGTGTCCGGCCTTACATTTAGGTGTTTGATCCATTTTGAGTTTATTTTTGTGTCTGGTGTTGGAGAGTGTTCTAATTTTATTCTTTCACATGTAGCTGTAAAGTTTTCCCAGAACACTTATTGAAGAGACTGTTTTTTCTCCTTATTCTTGCCTTTTTCGTAGATTCATTGAGAATAGATGCATAGGTTTATCTCTGAGCTTTCTATCCTGTTCCATTGATCTATATGTCTGTTTTTGTGCCATTGCCATACTGTTTTAATGACTGTACCTTTGAAGTATTGTCTGAAGTCAAGGATTCTGATTCCTCTAGCTCCATTTTTCTTTCTCAGAGTTGTTTTTAGCTATGAGGGGTCTTTTGTGGTTGCATACAAACTTTAAATTTTTCTGTTCTAGTTCTGTTTAAAAAAATGCCATTGGTAAGTTGATAGAAATTACACTGAATCTGTAGATTGCCATGGTAGTTTGGTTATCTTGACAGTATTGATTCTTCCAATCCAAAAATGACAGGAGAGAGCAGAGCACACAGCCCCAAAACATGGTATATCTTTCCATCTGTGTCATCTTCAGTTTCTTTCATCAGTGTTTTATAGTTTTCACAGTACAGGTCATTTGTCTCCTTAGGTAGGTTTGTTCCTAGGTATTTTATTCTTTTTGATATGGTGTTAAATGGGTTTATTTCCTTAATTTCTCTTATTTTTCATTGTTATTGTATAGGAATGCCAGAATTTCTGTATATTGCTTTTGTATCCTGCAGCTTTACCAAATTCACTGATGAGCTCTAGTAGTTTTTGGTAGCATCTTTAGGATTTTCTATGTAAAGTATCTTAATGTTACTTACTTTTGTTGAGATATATTCATTTTTTCTGCTTACATGTAGATGGCTTGGGATATATTTGTTTTAAATGGCCTTGCTATGAACAAGTTGTTTAGCAAAAGTAAGAATATACAAATTTTACTCAGTTGAGCTACCTGTTACCTGATGTAATTCTGAGAATGAAAATAACATTTAATTTAATGAAGTATTATTTAGGGACTCAATTATACATTATACTTAGGGTATATGTTTTTTAACTTTTCCTTGTAATTAATAGATGTCCAAGGTCAGAGTCTTATTTTTAGTCTTTTATTTCCCCTGCTGAAATAAGTGACTTTTCCTGTTAATGAAGTTAATTTTGTACTAGTTACACTGGTGCAGACCAAGGGGAAGGAAGATCTTTCTTAATTAAGTGGAATTAATATAAATTTGAGGTTATTAATTTCTTTATGTGAATTAAAATATTAATAATGTATGCATGTGTTGATAAAATATGAGTTTTAGCTAATGACACATAGTTTTGTTTTCTGGACTGACAAAGAATAGATGGAACAATTTTTGTTTTTATTTTATTCAACTTTAAATCTCAGTAAACTTCTAAGATTTTCTTTTATCATCTGCCATGGTCAGCAAGATTCTTTAAACTCCTTCTAATAGTAACAAGACCAAAGCAGCATTTGATGCTCTTATGTGTCTTTTTCTAGTTCTGTAGTAAAAGCATTTTCAAGATTCTAAAAACATTCTAAAGGTACAGTGTACCATAAAAAGCTTTATATTTAGTGTAGAGGAAAGTGGTTTCCTACCAAATGGAAGTAAGCATACTATATTTTATTTTTAAGGTTGTTAGGTTCCTTGCACAGAAATCCAGTCCAGCCCTCTTACTCTCCTGATCGCTACCACCTATACACTGAGCTTCTTCAGAAGCACTGGTGGGGATGCTGGTAGTTAGCCTTTTGATCAAAGATGTGCAGGAAACTTGGTTGAACCTTGGGACAGAGTTGTCTGCTGATGAGCACTCTTTTCCTAAGCAAACTTATGCTTTATTTGTGCCCCCAAACACTTGAGCTTATCACTGTGGCCTGAGCAATATATTGTTTTAACTAAGTTAATAATAATTAGGGCCTTAATTATTGAGAAAGTAGTAGGTATCTTAGGTTTACTTTAGTCCTAGCAAGAAAGCAGTTGATATAAGTAAGCCTGACCACCCCCTTTGTTACCATGTGATTAATGCACTTGAAGGATGGGAAAATATTTCCATGGGTGATAGAACTAATGGTCAGATGTTGAATTTGGTTGACTGTAATCATAGTGTCTCTTGTTCTTATAGCCACGTGGACAAACATTTGTATTTTCCAGATGGTTTTAGTTTTATAGTTTTCATAAAATGTCTGGGACAAAAGGTCAGAATTGTTAAATAAAATGGGAAAAACATTCTCTATCCTGATCTCGTGAAATTACCAGATTATAAGAAAATGTATTAACTCCACAATTGAATTTGTTGCTCATAGACAGTCAAAATATTTTTGCTATTTTAGAAAGTAGTGACAGAGCCCATGTTTTACAAGAAAGAAGGTAGAGTAATGAGTTTTGATTGTCTTTCTAACTACAGCTTTTTATTTTCCTTAAATGAAAGGGCTTTCTTTCAGCACCCTTAGTGTTATTGTGTTTCTGGCAGCATAGCTCCAGGCCATTTTAAATAATATATTTCTCTAACAAGCTTGGAAAGTCACATAGCAGAAAGATATTTGACTTCTAAAATTTTTCATTGTCAAAATGGGAGAGGCATTTTGTTTCACAAAGATACCCTTACACGTCAAGAGTTTTTCACAAGCAGAGTCTTGCCAGATGGTGTATATATTTAATACTCATTTCTTCAGCATCTTCCTATGTATCTCATGTTCACTGGGTGATTATACTGCTCAGGAGAAGGTTATACATCTGTGAGTTAGTGGATGCTTTAGAATCAACAACAGCTCTGCTTGAGGAATCCCTTGTGATTACTCAGTCAACAAATCACTGAATTACTGTTAACTGTCATAACTGTGGGGGTAGGCATGGGAATGTCACTCTACCTTGAATCTGTTTACTTCTTCCCACCTTCACTACCCTCCTAGTCCCAAGCCACCATCACATTTCCCCTGATCTACTGTTACATAGAGCATCTGAGTGGATTTCCCAGATTCTTTTTTTATCCTTTTCCAATCTAATCTCTATGCTGCAACTGAAGTGATCATTCTAAAACCAGCTGGAATCTTCACTGTACTAAGGACAAACTCCCAGATCCTTAAAGTTCCTATATGCTCTGGTCTCTCACCTCTCCTTGCTCATCCCATACTGCTCTATCCTGAGCTCAACATCTGTCAGCTATATGAAAAATAAGTCTTATGAGATATAAATAAATGAGAAATAAATCTTACATTGTTTTCTAGCACTTTGCTATTTTCCTTCACTACAACTATACCAGTTTGTAATTGTATATTTATTTAATTATCTGTCATTTTGAATGGTCTTTGAGTTCCATGATATTCTAGCACCTAATACAGTCTTACCCAAAAGCTCTGAAATATGTATGAGTGGGCAGGAGTGGAATGAGTATAGAAGACCCAGTCTATGTCCTCATATAGTCTGTAGTGAGGGTGAAAAACCATTTAAAAGGCAACTTAAGTACATCTTTGTAATGTTACAGTGGTACAAGAGGAAGGCATAGGGAACATGTGATAGGTTAGGTAGAAGTAAGAACACTGGCTTGGAACTAGACAGATCCAGAGTCAGATTCTGCTTTACCTCAGTGGGATTTTTGGCAAGTTCCTAAACTTACCTCAGGTATGGAAGGAGAGTAATTATTCCTACCTCACAGGTTTGTCAAAAGAATTAAATAAGAAAATTAACATAATAATGGCTGATATTTATTATACACATATATACTGGTGTTTTATTACATGTTATAAATGTAATATATCCAGCACATATGTTATATATGATGGTTGGATGGCATCACGGACCTGATGGACATGAATTTCAGCAAGCTCTGGGAGTTGGTGATGGACAGGAAAGCCTGGCGTGCTGCAGTCCATGGGGTTTCAAAGAGTTGGACACGACTGAGCTATTATATACTGGACTGAACTATTATATACTGGGCATGTTCTAAGCATTTTAATTGTTCTCATTCGATCTCCAAAATAAGCCTGTATAATAGCCATAAATATTGCCTCTATTTTACCATTGAGGAAACTGAAATCCAGAAAGGTTAAGGAATTTGCCAGAGGTTACTGACTTAAACCAATAACCTTAGAGCCAGAAATCAAACTTAGAGTCTAAATCTAGAACCTGTGCTCTGCACCACCATACCATGCCTCCATACTTGTAAATTTTCTTTCTCGCTATACATACAAACATATGCAGCAGGGATATTT